ATACTTGCACTAGAAACAGACAATTAACACATTCTAAGGTGTATCTCTGATATTCCCCCTAAAATTGTAGCAATTATTTTAAACAAACAACAGCTCAGTAACTTCATGATCAAAGATTTTGAATATAAGGCATCTATAGTCATGGAAATATAAACAAAAAGTATGCCACCCCTTGATCCTCAAACCAATATTTTATTTCAGCATGATAAGATGAAATCCCCCATAAAAATTGATTGAAAGATATACCTACGTAAATTTAGATGCTAGAAAACCAACTTACATCACGTCGAGCAAGATCAAGGCGATTCCATATGACCATTAAAACAAGTTCGGTAAGTTCTCCTTTCTCAGCGGCTTCCTCAATTTTCTACAATAGAAGATTCAGCCAGTTATTCAAATAAGTGCAAACAGCAGCCTAAATTTTCACAAAGTAAAACATGCAAAAAGCTATCCATAGTTAAAGAGAAGAGAAGCTTCACCCATTAAAAAAAGGGGAAGATAAGACTCAAGCTATCTAGCTATCTAGAATGATGGAACTTTTCTCAACACTATTATTTCCAAAAGTGTGAAAGGTACGCATGTTATCAATAAATAGACAAGTTATATTTATCACAGAAAAAGTTATGATTGAATGGGGAAAGAATTTAATAAAAAAGCATGTTAAAAATGCCATCACAAAGTGGAAAATTTCAGGAAATAATGGACTCGTGCCATTTTTATTTATTTCTTGCTTCTTCTTTAATGTGAAAGAATTAAATTTGAAGCCAACAGGATACAATCTTCCACTCTCCCTCTCCAAGCAAGCTATACTGAACTCTAAATTAGAATAGATGGCCACCAACCAGAAAGGGTGGGTGTGCATATGTGTGATTTTGGAAAACAATTCATGACATCAAAGGGAACCTATGCTTATAGCATTACCTTCACATGCTAAGCTCCCAGCATGCAAGATGCAATCACTGTTACCTTCATTTATTAGGTATTTAGATGCATTCATTGGAGGTTAAATAAAAACAGCATCTCACGATGAAACGTATTGGCCATATAATGAGAAGGATATTGATTTGGCAAGTATTAAGCAATCACCTCTTCTACTTCTTCAGCAGCTCTTATAAGGCTTGAAACCAATTTCCGAGCTTTTATGACATCCTCTTCTGGATATTCCTTCAACCGCATGCCAATTTCACGATATTCCTCAATTTTTCTTTCTTCTTCTTCCTCTTCCTGTTTGCGTAGTCGCCGCAACTCCTTTGTCCTTTCACGTTGTTGGGCTTGCCATTCCTATCATATAGAAGGTTAATGCATTGCATCCAAATAAAACCGTAGATGGATTTGTATTTTAAATTTGACAAGACAGCACATAAGCAAGCAGATAAACATTAAGGGCAGTGTTTTCATAATTATATTCATAAACCACGAACAAAAGCATCCACTGTAAATTCATACATCATGATTATTAAAAGAAGAACAATATTAATGACATAAGAGCTATGTCAGGCTTGTAAGGAAAGAATTATATATCTGATTATACCAAGGTAGTTAGCATGGCCAATAAAAGGAAGGGCAGCATAAACACTGCCTAGACTGACACACAACACGGATTCAAGATTAATAGAAGCAATAGAAATTTTATGTTGGAATCTAGCAAAGTAACTTTGAAGAAAATCTGAAAACAGAACTAGAACATCGGGAAAACAAATAGTGATACACCAACTGCAACCTGCAAAAGGCCGTGACATCTAATAAACTATTAGTTCAGATGGCCAGGTTTGTCTCACAAAAGGCAGAAGTGTCAATCTTCCCAGCTAAATCATAATATAGAAACAAAATGAAAGAGGGAAAAACCTAGTTCAGCCATATATGGCAAGGACATCTCATCTGATAGAGAAACCTGCATACATACATCATCATAATACTCCTTTGGCATCCCTTCCAGTAGTACCTCTTCCTTTTCCTTGTCAACGCATCTCCTTAAAACTGCCACCAAAACCCAGACAGTAGTCGTGATGACACAAATCACAAGATGAATAGAATGGAAAATATCAGTTTTGAAAGTGACAGACATCTGGCAATTAGTAACCTGGGCTTGATGTGCATTTGCAAGAAGATGTAGGTACCCTTACAAGTGAGGAGCAAGAAACAATTGATGGCAAAAAGCAAGGGCACGTAAGAGCCAGTGCCGTCATCCTCATTCTTCGTTTGAGGTGAATTAAAAAAGGGAAAGTAATTAGCAGAGGAAGAGTAAAGTATGCAGAATTAGTCAGCAAAAGGCCATCATCTTCATCCTCCCCTTCAATTCCACCCTAGCTCAGTGTACAACGCATTGTGCTCACAAAATCGGAGTGTTGCCTGAATAAATCGAGATGATTACTATTGCTCTAATGAACATGAACATAGAACTTTGAACTTTTCGTGCACATTTTGTTTGTAATTTTATTTGTATTATCATTATGTTAAGTTCAAATTCACACACACACCCCTCCAGCAAGCAAGGGAGTGTAAAAGAACTTGAACGAACAAACAAGAAGAGAAAAAGCGTAGATACACAATAAATTGCATCAATAAAATACGTAAAATATTGAGCTACAGATTCCAGCCACCTTAACCACAAGCAATCCAACTAACTGTACTAGAAGTTTTGCCGCCACCCTATCCATCAACGTCTTCATGTTCATTATTACCATTTTCTTCTCTTTCGGCCACACCACTCTTTATGTCCACTAACAAAATAACATCAAATATTCTGCAAGATGCGTTTTAATACCCAATAGGCGGATGAACTCCAAAGTATAAACAGAGCAAGACAACTAAAAGGGGAAGCAACACTAACATAATCGCTACCGAGATGTAAGCTCGCTTCCGTCGACAAGAATAAAGGCGAATGACGGAGTGCCCGCTCACTGCTTCTGTACTGGATGCTCGCTGGTTGTAACGCTCGTTGGAACAGGAAGAGATGGATATTGGATACCGCGCGAATTGCTAGGGGTTTCAGACTTTGAGAGCTTTGAGAGCTCTGAGAGGTAAGCTCACTCGAGCTCAAAAATATTTATTACAGAATTAAGACATCATTTTAAAACGTCGATTGCTGGAAGGAAAAAAAAAAAAAACTTTCAAAGACAGGTTTAGATAAAGACCAAACCATAATTTTAAAAATAATTTTATGGTATATAAAATAAATATATGGAGGAGTTTGTTTCAATTTATAAAAAAATATTTTTCAAAAACGCTTTTATGTGATACCAAACACCGTGTTACTGAATGAAAAAAATTTAATCAAATTTGCACTTTAATTCATTTGAATTTATTTGATTGGTATTTTTGTGAAAATATAATAGATTCATGAATCATGATATTTAAAAAAAAAAAAAAGGGTCAAAACTCTTCAAAGTTCTCATAAAACCTTAGAATCATACCTTAGATTTATGGTTCCAAGAAAATTTGAAGATTGAACCAAATTACCTGACCCTTCATAAACAATTGTCTTTTTATCTTTTTCCCAAATTTTATATGGGTCCTTGACGCCAACCTACAAAAGGTTGTCATACCTAATCAATTATCTTAATTCTTAAATAATTTCAGGTGATATGCTGCTAAGATTTGTCTGCCATGCTAAGCCAAATTTGGCAGACCAAGATTTCTCTGCATGGAACTTCATTAGGAACCGTTGGATGTAGTGAATGACTAAGATTTCTCCAATCATTTTGTCTTTTTGTTCCCACCAATGCACTGAATCAGGAGGAATTCTTGCGTGCTCCGAGAGCACCAAATCATTTATACTCTGACCAATCAAAATACACCATATCAATAAGTCTAATCTGACGTGTTATCTTATCTGTCATTTAAAAAAAAAAAAAAAAACTTACGCCCATCTTCTTCCATCGCTTCTCTCTCCTTAATCGTAACCCTTCTCTGCTGCGTTTTTCTGCTTCTATTTCTTCATCTCCCTCACTCTTGATTCATCCTCTCTCATCTTGCCTCCCTCCCCTACCTCTGCGTCACCTGCATTTCACCCTCCAACTCCTCCCACCGTCACTCCCCCGGCCCTATCTCCTCCGATCCTCCTTTTCCCTCTTTCAAGTTCTTGAATCTGATTATTCCTATTTCAGATCTAAAATCATGAGGGAAAAATTTATCTTCTCTACATTCTGAAATTTATGTGTGGTTTGCTATTTTTATTTTTTGCTGGGTGAAAGAAGGAAAGGAAAGATGAAAGAAGGCCGCTCTGCATCTGGTGGGTAGGGATGGAGTCGAAGGAAAAAAGTTAAGAAGAACAGAGGATTTGAAAAAAGGACGAAGAGAAAAAGATGACGGAGGAGGAGAGAGAAGCGGGTGAAAAAAATGGAAACTAAGCCTTTAAAAAATGACAAATAAGCTCGCATGTCAGATTAAATTTATTGATGTGGCATATTTTGATTAGTCAGAGTATAAATGATTTGGTGCTCTGGGAGCACGCAAGAATTTCTCCTGAATCAGACTTGGGGGTCACTGCAGTTAATTCTTTTGTGCTCTTGGAATAATGCTCCAAAAAGGAGGTAAGAATTTCTCTACGCAATCTTTAGGATTTCAATATATTTATTTCTTCATTCTAAATTTAATAAAATACCAATTAAAAACCTCTTATTCATTAATAAAAAATACTTTATTTTATATATTAATCTTTTTTAAACCTTTAAATTTTAGTTTGAAATTGATTATTGGGCTTAAATGATTATTTGCGCACTGAGAGGGCAATTATCCAGTGATTGATTGAGGATAATTAAATCTTGGTCGTGTCGTTGATATAAAGTATAAAGTTTTTAATCAATTACTGAATTCTCAATTAATTATTGAAAGGGAATATTAAAATATCGTTACCGAATCTAGGCAACCGGCTGAGCCAGGCCAAAATCCTATTCTCCAGTTGACTTGTGTGGCGACAAAGTCCCTACGATCCACCGGCTGGTCCGGTGGCTTTATCAAATTCACTGGCTACTCGGTCGTATGCCCTCTATTGCTTCTGCCTTTCTCTTCAGTCTTCTCTCAGGTACTTTCTTCCTTTGATTCTGGCCTGTGGGTTTCTGTGTGGTTTTGCTTCGCGTTCAAGCTCCTCTTTTCTTCCTCCTCCTCCTCATCTTTTCCAAGGTAACCCTTTTTTACCATAGCTGTGCTTCTTGTTGTTTCTCTTCGCTTGTGTTTCTGTTTGGTAGTTGTGAAAAGTCAAAGCTGAATTATTTCAATATTTTTTGTTGTTTTTCCCAATAATTTTAAAGAAAACGGTGAGTTATGAGGAGAAAGGTTTTATATTCACTTATGTTGTTTGTACTCTGGCTCTGTGGCTTTCTTCTTTCCCCATTTCCCCACCCCCTTAAACATTTCACTGTTGATTAGGTCTGTGCTGATTGGTGTTGATCACATGCTTCTTTCTGTGGATTTCCTCTATGTACAGTTTTTCCCCCCTGATGGGAGGCCTCGAACTTTGTCTATCTTATGTTGTGGCAACAGATTACAATAAATTCTTACTCCTGAAGCACTGATATTTTGATGGGTGTTCAAGGCTCCTATCAGATGTCAAATGTTACTCATCACGTGTTCAAGGATTTTATGTTTTTTCAAGTCACGTATACAAATCAGGATCAGTTCTTAACTCTAAACATGTGAATTTATCTAAGTGCTTCGGCAGCTAGGCACATACGTAACATGTCAGTTTATTAATTATCTCTTTGGGGAGAATTTATTCAAATTGACCTGATCTTGCAACCAATCTCATGTTAACGTTATATATGTGTTCTTCCTTTTTATTTGGATTTTTCTAATTTTTTTCAATCCAACTCTCTAACCCCAATTCAAGAACTTCAACAATGAAGACTGGCAAAGGGAAGGGAGCTGTAAAGAACTCTAGGGAATCGTTGAAGCCTGTCGATGATAGGTTAGTTCGTTGTATCATTGTACTAAATGTGAATAAAGTTGAGGTATACTTATTTCCATGGTTTTGTATCTTCTGGCCCAAAAGGATGATTGTTTTTGCTTATATCTAAAAGTTTATTTGTATCTGATTACACATACTTGATGGTGCAAACAACTGTTACAGGAATATTGTAGTGATGGAACATATATATCTCTATTGTTTTCAGAAAGGTCGGAAAGAGAAAGGCTGCGGCTAAACCTGACAAAAGTAGTAAACGGATGACCAAGGCCAAGAAAGATCCCAACAAACCAAAAAGACCACCCAGTGCTTTCTTTGTCTTCCTGTTTGTCTCTCTGTCTTTGATCCTTTCTCTTTTAGCTGCCATGAAAAGTGGAAGTACTTGAACTATCTTCTTCTCTATATGGCAGTGAGGAGTTCAGAGCAACCTTTAAGAAGGAAAATCCTACTGTGAAGGCAGTATCAGCTGTAAGTTGCATCTCAAGTTTCTTTAGTTTATTTACTGATACATTTCCTCATTGAATAACCCATCTAAGGTTCTTACTGTACTCTTTGATTGAAGGTTGGGAAAGCCGGAGGAGAGAAATGGAAATCCTTGTCTGAGGCTGTAAGCAGTTCAATCTTGGATGCATAACTGCAAATTTTATTTATGTTGGGTTTGGTCTTCATCATGTGATACATTCAAAAAACAGTAACCTTTTTATTAGACTCTGTGTATATTATAGCTTTATATAATTGTTTCTTATATTGAGTTCTGTGGTATCTGTTTAAAGTGACCTCACCATAATGAAGGGATTTATTCTCTTACTGATTTCGATTTCTCTATTGGTCTGGAAGGAGAAAGCTCCGTATGAAGCCAAGGCTGCGAAAAGGAAAGCTGACTATGAAAAAATTATGAATGCTTATAACAAAAAGCAGGTGAGCACCTAGCGTGAGATGGTCTGTTGTTTTTGCTGTTTTTGTGTGCATTATTCACAGGCTTCACTTTGTATGATGTGCCCAGGCAAGCACTGCAGATGATGGAGGTAATGAATCAGACAGGTCCAAATCTGAAGTTCATGATGAAGATGAAGAGGTAGCCTCACTTCTTTCCTATCGATCTTTTCTTTTAATAAGCTTGTGTAACGAGTTTATCTTTGTAAATAATCATGATTTTTTTAGCATGATAGAAATGGATTTGTAAATAATTTATGATATGCAGCTGCTTTGATTTCTCTAGATTCTGGTAAAAAAATAAAACAAATACCTTATATTGCATGTTGAACCAACCCCCCCTCCCCAAAAAAAAAAAAAAAAAAAAAAGAGGCAATAATGTGGTGGGCTATAATACCTTGGGAGCTTGATCCAAGTCTTGTCCATTATTATTCTTTATGTATATTCCTATCAAGTTTAAAGATGCATTCTGTGTGAATCATTAACAATCAGAAAAAGCTGGTAAAACAAGAAATCTTTTGGGGCATAGCTTCTACTTTCAGTCACCAATAAAGTTTGCGCTTTTATGCATGGCTCATGGCCATTGGTGATGTTTCTTGTGACGATGAAAGCTTTAAACCATATTGTTTGGCTATTTTACTTTGCTACAGGAGGCACACCAAGAGGAAGAGGAGGAGGAGGATGAAGAAGACGACGAAGAGGAGGATGATGACTGAAATTCATGCTTTCAATTTGAATAATGTTGTTTCATTGGTGGAAGTCTATTATATATGTTGTCTGTGCATACTAGGAGGATACTTCTGAATGTTTTGTGCAGATAGAGAAGAACTGAACTCGCCTTTCACTTGAGCTTCCCTCAGGTGTTACTTATTGTACTCTAATGTTCCCTTTTAAGCTTGTAGCCTGAAATGTGCTGGCGTCCGAAGTAACATATTTTCCCTTTTTGTACGAAAGGAAGTTGATATGTATGAAACACACCATTTTCACTTCACACAATGTTCATCTAGTGATAAAAGTTACTCCATATTTCAGCATATAATCCATTAAAGTCCTGTTTGGCAATACTGCCAAAGATTGTTTCCAATGTAAGACGTTGTTAATTGGATCATTTTGTTGAGGTTTAAATGATGTTACCATAATGAAAGTCTTATTTGATTCTACGGAAAGATAGGGAGGGAAAGAAATTTTTTCATGCCATTAAAGTCCTGTGTGGTTGTAAGGAAAGACAAGCAGAGAAAGGAAATGAAAATGGGGGAAGAGATTTTTTCCATGTGGGGAATGCGTTTGTCAAGATTATCAATCATGTTTTAAGGAAGAGAAAACCAATGAAAAGTTCCTATTTAAAAAATTTATTTAATAAAATGATTTGAATTGGAATATTGGTATTTTCTGTATATGAAATTTTACAAAATATTGAACTTTCTTTCTACATATAAAAATACATCAGAATTAATAAAATTCTCACAGGGGTTTCCACTAATTTTCCTCAGAGGAAATATCTCAGAAGTAAGAAAACATGGCACATTCCACCTATAACCACCGATGATAGGTATCTTGAGGCCCCAACATTCTCAAACATTTGGTAACCGAGGTATCATAATATTTTATGATTTCTTTTTTTTTTAAATTCATATTATATTAATAAAATCTTTGCAACAGCCGCCAAAACACAAATGCTTTACATTTCACATTAAAAATAAATGCCACGTCGCATAAAAAATTATCTTACATTTGGAAGCCTAAATAATTCAACGATAGCATAACGCATTATTTTACAATCATAGTACGTGCTTCAATCATTTTTGCCGCCTCTAATCATATAAAGAGCATCATTCGATTTATTACAATATATGAATAAATTAATGCATGCGAATGTTCATTTAGTATTGTCAAATATGACGTAATACAATGATCATCCTAGCATTCACACTATAGATAAGGGCCCGCTTGATTAAAATGGGAAGGGACCAAAAAAACAATGTTAGTCAAATTTAACTTCTTTTTATCGGCTTTTCAAATCGACACTAAATGTCTTACAGCTTAAATTATCCCAACAGCTTTCTCATATTTAGCCTAACCAAAAATCAGTTTTTTCCCCCAAAAAATATCTCAAACAATCTGCTCTTGCCAAATATAGATAAATATTTATAGCTCATATCGTTCGTGTGTTGGGACGGCGGGTGGGATTCTCAAAGGACAATAATGTGGCTGACATAACTGGTAAACAACCATAGCCCTTGTATAAAACTTTTAAACAAATGAGGACTTAACACCTCAACTACATAATCAAGTCAAATGGGTATAGCATTGGCTTGTGATTCCCAAGTAATATACAGCTTGAGAAAAAGAACAACAGTGAAGCATTCTGGGCATTTGCTAGCTAAGTTCTTGAATAAAATTGTAACACCTTGAGTGATATTAAAAAAAAAAACCTTTTCCAAATTCCAACGAAGCATTGTTCCTGGGGCTGACATAATTCTATGGAAGAACCTAATAGCAAACACCTGAGACTACAATCATTTTTTTTTTTGGGGAAAAAAAATCAGAAATCTGAGGACAAACTGAGAACTATGTACAGATGTGAGTTTTGAAGTTCAGATGATTAGCTTGCTTTAATTGGCTCTCTCACAAGCGGACAGGACGAGACATGAATATTGGATCTGGAACAAGAAGAGGCAACTTTTCAATGTAAACGAATAACCTCTTTAAATTCTCCTTTGTGATTGAGGCCATGTCATCTATCTCATTGTTGTTCATGTACACCCAAAGGTCACCAGAGTTCACTCTTTTCAGACTGTCCCGGCAGAAAGGGCAAGACTGAGATCGTGCATGCCTAAACCAGTGGCAGTATTATATGCTTTAGAAGTGAAGCAACCATAAAATGATAAAGGAAATCCAATAGCAATAAGAGTAGGTGAATATAATTGAAACCAGTGAGCAGGAATATGAATGTAACAAAAAATCTTACATAAACGTTTGAAATAACTGAATTCAGCTATGATATGCTTGTAAGTTTGATCGAGAGTGGGTAGACCTATCACTTTTTCTCTAGATCTCTGATAAAAAAAAGTTTATCTTTGCTAGCGATTTGAAAGAACTAGATTGCTTTGAGAACTCAATGGAGTGTCAGAAGCATTGCTTTGCCCAAACACTTCAATTGCCTAAGCATATTTTCAAAAAAGAGGTACTAGGACTTCTGCTCAGATTACAAAATCTCGAGCATAGATCTTAAAAGGAAACTCTGAAAGGAAAATCTCAAGAGGAGTAGATTCTTTCTTTAATATTCAGTTCTATTCTTTAACTAGAATGGGTATTAATAAACTGGCTTTGTTCTGCACCCTTCCACACGAGAAAGAACATGTTGAAATTTTCCATATCTCCATTATTTAGATTCTATAACTTAGATGGGTCATTTCTTTTATTGAATTGTTTTAACTTAATAACCATTTTATCACAGGAAGTATCCTCCCAGTTATGGACACCAGTCTAAGCAAGATGTGGGAGGACAAAATATGATGCACCGTATGCTAATTAAAATTCTAAAATGTCACAATTTGCTTACCAATCTCGATAGCATTCCATGCACATTGAGTGATTGCAAGTGGGCAATACAATCTTGCTGTTCACCTCCATGCAAATACCACATTCTTCCTCTCTCTCCATGTCAATTTCAGAATGCTTTCCTTTCCTGACCACAGGTTTTGACTTATACTTACTAGCACATATTTCTTTTTGTTTTCTGTCTTCTACATCCGTAATTCCTCTGTGTAGTTGCAATAAAGAGGGAAAGATCACGCCTGTCATTAAAGAGATCAAAGGTAACCAAATATATATAGTCAAGCACATCTCCACAGGAAAGTTATAAAGCCATCATAGCTCACTTATGAATAAAAGCAAATGACAGTTATTTTTAATTTTCAGTATAACTCTGCACTTACAATAGAACTCCTTCAGACTGGCTTTTCTTTCATAAATGGACATTGTTGTCTTGCCATCCTCGTATGCCTGTAAGAAATCCAATGTTTTGTGAAAAGCAGCACTTGTTCACATTATCATATTTCTTAACATATATATTGAGCTGTTTATATGAAAAGGACATAGAAAGCGGTGAGTCCAGACTCTGGAGACAGCTAGTCAGCTATAGAGTAAAGAGGCAGAAAATGTACCTTGTATATGAGAATTCTAAGCAATCCCAACGCTCCAGCAAGGTGACAATCAGTCCACTGAACCAGAAAAAGAAGAAATTGAGCTGCTGGACTGTAGGACAATCTCATTTGGATGCAGGCACCATCATAATCTCTTGGATAATCAGAAGCTCTGTATCACACACATTATGCGCAATGAAAAGGTTTAAATAAAACTAAAAAAGAAGGGACCTTTTTATTCTTCTTCTCCCTGGGAAATTTGCACTATTAAAACACCAATGCAGTAACATAGAGTATAAATAGATGCAATTCATAACCGATTATTAGTGATAACTGATAAGCACTAAAATTTTAAACAGGCACATAAAAGCTTCTTTATCTCCTTAATGAGGATCAAAAAGGAATCCCTACAGAAGTTGAAGCCTGAGTTACCTCTCAAAATTTTTATCCCCAAGAGTAGTATGTTAAGAATCAATCAACTCAAAAGTTTGGGCAATCACGTGAAAATTGGGAGTGATACCAGTTATTGGTCTGTCCTTTCTTTTACTGGCCCAAGTCAAAATTCAAACACATCTCATATTGTATAATAGTCAAATAACGCCATAGTCCCATAGTTGATCGCAACAACTATTTCAGTCCCCAAAACTTGCTTGCTTTCTATTCTTCCCCACCAAACTCAAACAAACCCCAACTTCATTCTCCTTTCCTTCCTTTTTGGGGGGAAAAAAGGATCATTCGGTAATCAATTTAGGTGCTGAGCCGTTCGCTGGTCTCTCAAATACCTTAAAAATTAGAAGCCAAATTCTAATTTTAGCTTTAACTCCATAGCACTCGACGGGGAAAAGGACAAACAGATAAGAGTTTCTATGACGTTATAACTAGATAACAAACAACCAAAGATGATATCTGAAAATTTTTACGCCCAATTTCCCATGTCATAATCCAAAAACACAAAATAATACAAGAGACCAGCAATTCATCATCTTCCTCAAAGTCCCAGAAAATGTTCATCTGGTATAACATCAAAAATCACATAATATCACATGCATATCTATAAAACAAAACGCTTATTGAAATTACAAAGGCAAGGTGGGTGAGGAGAGAGAAGAGTGGAGGAGCAGGAGCAGCAGCAGCAGAAGAAGAAATTACAGAGTATTGGCGAACTGGATATCAGCTTCGAGAGCTTTGAGGGAATCCTTGAAAGACTTGCGCATTTTTCCTCCTTCGTTTCGTTAGTCAACAAATTCCCATTCAGAACTCAAAGAAAGACGATATTCTCACTAAAAACCGGTAAACCCACAGCAGAACCTAGGAATTGCATGATCCCAAGCGTTAATCCTCGTTTTGCGGCGAAAATAATCCCAGGAAGGAAACAAAGGAATCGAATTCGGCAGGAAATTTGGCTGTGAGAGAAAGAGAGAGGATTCTAGGAGTGAGGGAGAAGAGACAAAGAGTGGGATTTGCTGGGTTTTCGCTTATGGCACACGTAACTCTTACACACACCTCGTCAGCTAATCTAATCACACTCTTCACTAAAACTGCACCGAAAGAAGGTAAAAGATCCGAAGATATATTCTTCAATTACGCAAATGCCCTTCCTTTTTTCCCTCGATATTTGTTGCAACTTTTAATTTAACCCTTTTAACAAAATTCAAAACGCTAATAAAGTGTCTTAAGGAAAGCTTCAAAACGATGACATAAAAAAATGTTGATTAAGTAATGATTATCAATTCTAATAAATATTTATTTCTTTTGTTTTATAAACTGTAAAATTCGAAAGAAGAAGTTGTTCAGACTCATAACCCAAATAATACCAAATATTTATTTTAAAAAAATTTTAAATATGAGGTTATGAGTTTGAACTCACGACAAATTTTATAAAACAAGTTATGAGGGGGGAGCCCCTCAATGTTTTATTTGAAAACTTTTTGTTTAAAAGAAAAAAAATCAAATATAATTCTATCATTTAATTCAACT